ATTAAATTATATGGTTATATGTAAATTATTTTTTTAAAAAAAATTGAAGAAATATTTAAATTTAAAATTATCATATTATTATGAATATAAATTCTTAAAATTATGAGGTTTGGAGATTTTCTACTCTTATGTGAGATTTAGAAAATAATTTTAATTAATTATATAAATTTAATGTTTTATAATATTTTATTTCATTTAATTTTTTATCTCATATTTTAAATGATAACATCATTATTATATTAATGCTATTAATATTTAATAATATTATTATTTATTGTATCATCCGATTCAACCTTGATTTGACATTTTCCAATATTAAAAAATTTAGTAAACACTTTCACAAAGGGAAAATCTTTTGATTCATTTGAAAGAATCACAAGAGATTTTAACTTTGGAATATGAAGAAGCAAGAATGATTTAAGCTACATTTGTGACAACTTTAGACCACAATAAATTTTTTTTTTATTTCAAGATATTTCTATATTAAAAAATAACTTTACAAAAAAAAAAAATTCATCCCAAACTAAGCCTTAGCTTGGAGTAATTATTACGTCCGGATAAAAAACCGGAAATCCGAACGTATACTGAGCAATACCGAGTTTCAGGTGACGTGGCGCGTGATTATTTTGCTCTTCTGACCCAATTTTTTTTCCTATTATGTATCATGAGACAAGGATTATCATGCCCAAGTAAATTCAGAAAGACTTGGATTTTGTTCAGGATAATTTTTTCTGTAAATTTTTATATGAAAGTAACCCAAAAAAAAAAAACCAGTTGAGAAAAACTATCCCGAACAAGTCCGAAAGCGAAATCAACCTGTGCATTACCAAACGAAGAAAAAAAAATCTTATGTTTTATTTGATAGAACGTACCGTTTAAATCTAAAAAAAAATATCTGATTAGTTTATTTAAAGGTAAAAAGAGCCGTTACATGATTACATCAACACTAGTATAAACAAACTGAACGGTAAAAACATATGAAAAAGATAAAACAAAAATGAAAAACTCAAAATGTTTAAATTATTAGTACCGAATGAATCCCTTCAATGGAACCTGTGCTTACTATTCCTCCTCTTTCGTGTTTTTTCAAATGGATCAACCCAGCCCTTGTCTTCTTTCACTGCATTAAGCCATCGCTCCTCAAAATTTTGAAGCTCTAATCTCGCACTTCTCCTAACCTTAATGTTTCATAAACTATTAATTAGTGACTGGTAATATGGATAAAAGGAGGATCTAGATTAGCTAATTTGGATAATAAGTGAAATGAAATTGACAATGAAATTTTTTTTGGGTTTCTTTTTCAAAAAAGGGGCGGGGAATATGTTTTAATCCTTAAATTAAGTTGTATTTTATTTAGTTCCGCTTTACTCAGATTTCAATTGTCCCTCATTTGAGTTTATCAATGGTTATAGTCAATAGAATTTATAGTGAATAATAATATTTAGGCCGTCAGACACAAATTTGTATGAATGATGGTTGCGAATAAATAACCACCTACTAAAATATAGGCAAAAAATGCAGCTCATCTTGATATGGTGGTTGAGAGTAGGGGTGCAAACGAGTCGAGTCGTGCTCGAGTAAGGAGGTGTTAGTATCGAATTCAACTGTCAAATACCGAGCTCGAGCTTGACTCATTCCACCATAAACGAGATTGAGCCGCTCGTCGAGCCTTCGGCACAGTCCGGTTCGCTGGTAGATTCTCGAAATACACGTGGGATAAAGAGAGAGAGGAAGAGATTTATTCTGTCTTCAAAAAATTTGATTCACTATCTTTTACAAATGCAGCGGGGGAGAGAGAGAGAGAGAGAGAGAGAGAGGTGGTTGAGATTTGAGCATTGGATTCTCGAAATACGCGTGGGCAGGAATTTAAAATACACAGTGGGATTATTATTAATTTTATTTTAAAATATTTAAATTTAATAAGTTTGAGCCAACTCGTGAGCTAGCTAGTCGAGCCTCGTCACGTTTGAACTCGAGCTCGTAGCTCGATAAGCTCAGCTCACGAGCTCATAAATGAGTTGAGCTCGAGCTCGAGCTCGAGCCAGCTCGACACACTTATACTCCTACTTGGGAGCTATGAGACCTCGTTCCTTTGCTGTAGCTGTGGATAGATGAGGAAACTGATAGAAACTGAAAAAGAAAGAAAAAAAAAATGAATGATCGATCAGATGAATCTTTTCGCTACACGGATCTTGGGTCGTTATAGGAGCATTGATTATCCTCGAGTTTGAAGCTTGCATATGAGCAAAAAGGCACTTCCAAGATATCTATATCCGCTATGTAGATAAAGTGTGTTTTGATGGGAATGAATTCTTATAGTCTTGTTTGGATCATAGAGAACTCAAGTCATGTCCTATGTAGATAACTATGCTTTGGGCTAGAGCGGGTACTACTATTATGAATAAAAATTGGTTGGATGGATGGGCTTAAAAGTTTATCATAGATCATTTCTACTGTATAGTTAAAAGATATATAATTTTATGATTTTGTTTCACATACAAATTCAAAAATAATAAAAACATCTACAATGCAATATATCTAAAAAAAAAAAACTTTGATGCATTGGGGTGGATCAAACTTAATGAGTTAATAATGGAATTAAAAACCAAAAGGCTAATTGAATCTTACCTCAGCACGGGAATCCATCACTGGAGTTCCACCTCTATGCTGGAAAAAGTTCAGAAAACAAAGTGTTTCAGGCAGTGTAAAAAGGTGGCAAAAGATCTTTAAATTTAGCTTTACAATAACATCAAGTAAGGTACAAATATAGGCATGATAATTCTTAATCATAAAAAAAAAAGGAAAACCAAGAAGCAGACGGTAACTAACCTTTTTAGTTGAAACACTTCCCAAAGTCTGCACACCTTGATGGACGATGAATTCACTATCTACAACACCTACCTTCTTAATCGGGTCCCCCTTGCAAAACCATGCAGAGTTTTAGCAATCAGATGCTGTATAAAGATTAAGACTATAAAGTAGCGAAAATTTTATCATAGTTACATGAACTAGTTGAAAATATCATTGAACAAAAAAAAAAAAAAAAGAGAGAGAAATATATAGCTCCGATCCGGCTAAATTTAATTGTGTTGGTGAATAATGTGCATTTTAAATGAATTAACTAAAATGAAGAATAAGGCTCATTCCTGCAAAAAAAAAAAATCATTTAAACCAGTGAGAAAGTTGCAATAGATCTAGTTGCTCTTGTAGACATTGGCGAAGCCAGAAGTTTTTTATAGGGGGTCCAACTTTAACTTTGTTTGAGCTGACTTTTATATTTAGAAATTATTCCTGTTTGATTTCCTAAGATATCAAAAAATGAACACACAATTTAGTGACATTTGTGCTTATTTTAGACAAGGCATAAACACCCAAGAGTTCAGTCTAGAGAAAGAATTTTAAAAACAAAAAACCAAAAAAGAAAAATAAATAATAAATAAAATAAAAAATATATATATATATATATACCAATTAAAAGTCTAGGGCTGTTGGAACAATGACACCAAATAAAATTGATTTGCTAATAATTTTCCAATAACAAAACTCTTTCCTTGGCCTATATTATAAAGTCATAGTATTATTACCTCATGACCGTCAAATTATAGGAAGGCTTTTTAAATTTCGGAATTATCATGCATAATAAAAATGAAGAGAAAACAACACAATAAAAAAGAAGAAGTGTAGGAACACACATATAGGAAATAATTTTGTTATGATAATGATAGACTGACCGATTTGATTGGGAGAGAATTAGGAAGTTTCATAATTAAAAGAGAACTATTTAGGAAGATTCTTAATCAAATAGGAATTGTTTAGGAATGTTTTAATTACAATAGGGAAGATTTGAATTCAAAATCTAAGAGGGAATAATTTAGGGAAGAGGAATTTAAAGGAATTATTTAGGAAAATTTTAATTATAATTGGGAGGGAATTAATCAGGGAAATTAATCTAATTTGAATTCAAATTTGCAAGAGAATTATTTAGGAAAAGGGGGATGATTTGGGAGAGAATTATGGGAGCCTATTTAAGGCTAACAATAGGATGATTTCAAAATTATATTCGGAGTTTGCTGAAATTAGAATTTCTTAGGTTATTTGGGCTCTAGCCGGAAGCTAGGGATTTGTAAGAGTAGGATCTTCCTCTCGAATTGAAGATCCAACTGTATCTTGCTATTTTCTTTCATATATCTTGTAATAAAATAGTTTTGGTATGTTTTTCTTCCTAATTTCTTATTGCAGTTTGCTAATTTTGAGAAAATGTGTATCCACTTCATATCAGAATACTTCAACAATAATGAATGATGCCGCTAGGAAGCCCTCAAGAAGAAAATTACAGCAAACAAATAAAACACCCATAACCCTCATAACAAAATAACTAGCCTTAAATACGCTCTTCCTATTTCCCTGCCAAACAGATTGACTGCTTTAATTAATTCCTTCTCTTATTTTGAATTCAAATTAGAGTTAAAACAACAATTAATTCTCTTATTGCCTTAACTAATTTACATCTCATATTTCAATTCAAAATTAGATTCTTTCCTTCAATTCTAATTAAAACTTCCCTAAATAACTTCCCCTTAATTCCTCCTCAATTCTAATTAAAACTTACCTAAATAACTTCCCCTTAATTTCTCCTCCTTTCATAAAGATCTATAGCTTTGTTAGCCCCACAAGGGGGGGGGGGTGACCAAATACCCTTTGGTTCTACTGAGAGTTATGTCCAACCCAAGGGCTGATTTGGCCATAGCTTGCTGGTTGTGTTGGACCAGTCTCTATGCTCCCCTTCTCCTGCTGTATCATAGCCTTGACATCAGAATGATATGAAATGGAGGATACAAAGGCAACCAATGAATTAAAGTAGGCCAATAATAAATACTTAGTTGGTAATGGGGGCATTGCTAGAATGCATCCTTTTCTAGGTGGACTTGCAACCTATGCTGCATGTTTTTGCAAACTTAGTTTTTTTTTTTTTCAGTTGCAAATTAATTTTTCAAATTTGCAATGGGTTTGCAATCCAGGCAGAACATTATCACATTTTTTGAATTAACTTGCAAAAGGTATTGGTGCATAGCTGTCTTTCTTTCCCCCTTCCCTTTTCCAACCATAGCATAAGACGGTTAGAGTTGAATTCTCCAAAGATCGGGTTATATCCCTCTTAGCTTCATCCTCTCCTATTTAGATGGATGGTTTGGGTGAAACCCTTTCATAAGTAAATGCTATTTTTCATACTTTTTAATGCTAAAGGTTTTGCATATGAATGCCTAATGTGGTAATTGATAGGAGAGCTTGCTAGATAGGAGTGAAGCCAGAAAATGATTAAATTCTTGATTAGTTCATTCTAAGGAAAACAAAAACATGCAACTTTATCCTTCACTCATCCTCTTAGAAAACAACAATTTGGGATTCTATAGTTTTTGAGTTACATATAGACTAGTAGATTATGTTATGCGTGGGAAAATGCTTAATAGAACTTGATTGTTGAGTTTGGGTAACTAGAACCTCTCTTAAAAAAAAAAAAAGTTCTCACTACCTTAGCCTACTAGAAAAATGGTGAACTAAAGGTGCTCCTCCCCTGAAATAAGTTAACAGTCATAAAGATTTTGTTTAAGCAAAAGCATTAAACATTGAGGCTTTTTGTTAAAGTCAAAGGTGTGAACGGGCCTACTATAAGAACCGGTTTTGACTGGCCGGTTCAGTTCGGTCAGCCCTAACTCTTAAAAAACACGAGTAGAAGCCAAACAGAGGCCTGGGCGGACCGAATAGATGCACGAGTCTACCAAAGACTGGGATGGAGACCTACGACCACGATTGCACTGATTTACTTTTGATTTAATATTTGTATTAGAGTTATTATCAATGTATTGAGTTTATTATTGCATTTTTCTTTTGTACCCTCACTTGAGGGAATAGTCATATGTAAGCCCTAAGGGTATTTTGATCTTTTATTTTTCCTTCACTGTATGAGCCTATTTAAAAGCCACCTCCTCCTCTTTTGAGGTCAATGAATGTCATTACAAGAAATTTTTGCACTTGTGTTTTGAGAGAACTTGAGAATTTTTGGAGAGATTGAAGTCCCTAGATGAGGGCATCGCAATACCCAGCAATCGCAGGATGCATCCGAGTTCGTGGTCGACTTCCTCCTTCCCTTTCTTCCCCTCCCTCCCCCACAAACTGTCGGTCATATACCCCTTCCTCCCTCTCTCGGCCGAACCTCACCACCACCCCTACAATCCCGGCTGGCCATCCCCTCTCCCACCTCCAAGCCGCCGTCCATAAAGCTATCCACCTCCTCCAACCCTACCCCTAGCCGCCAGTCCCAATCCCCTTCACTTGCCTCCAAAATTCAAATCCCTATTTAATACTTCCCATTTATTAAACAACTTAAATTAGGAAAGTATTTGATTTCAAATTCCAATCAATTTTGAATTGAAATTATTTCCTAAGATAAGATGGTCTATTTTAGGAAAGTTGCTTAAATTAAATCTAATTATATTTCAAATTGGATTTGATTTAAATCAATTATTCCTTATTTAAGATCCTAATTAAAGCAAGCCTTAAAATCTACCCAAAGCCCTCTTACCCAAGGATGCCACTGTCCAATTTCAGATTTTAGACACTAGCCGTCCCCTTCTCCCTTAGCCACCGCTCCTCCCTCCCTCCCCCCCGCCTCTTCTTCTTTGCTCTCTCTCAAGTAATTTCTCTCCCAACTACTTACTCTCCAAATTAATTCAGAGTTTCAACTTTTGAAATTAATTTCAGATTTAATTCACAAGATCCTTTCTACCACAATTCCCCCAAATCCGAAGTCTCATGTTCTACATCCCTTCTCCATTGTATGACGGATCCTAAACAAGACCATGGGTTTGTTTACAACGATTAAGGTCAAGTCGACATCCTCAAATCACCATTCTTCGACCTCAACTTGGAGATTGATCAAACCGTGGAATAATACGTTGAGAGGATCATCTTCACCCTCGCCGAAGCCATCGACGAACAACTCTCCTCCATGCAGTGGCAGATCGTTTCCAAACCTTGATCAAGGTGAATCTTTCCTCCAAATTTTTTTTCCTTTCTAAGTCTTACCTTAATTTGTGGCATCACAAGATCATGTAATGCTTTCTCCGTTTTACCAATCATTAAAAGAGTTAAGTGAGGGACCCAAATAGTAACTATTCTTATTGTTAATTTAGGGATCTCTATTGAAACTCCCCCATGCTTGCTAGTCTTGATTAGATTTGATTATTCGTATTTCTTAACTCTTACATGTAGTTTGACCTAAGCTTTAATCATCATTCTAATGTTCTAACTTTTTGTTTAAGTCACAAGAAGATAACATAATTATTATTTCCCAAATTTAACAGGCGTGTAATTTAATATTGCATAACTTCTCATATATTCTAGTTCTACATCACATTTATATCACTTCAGCAGTAAGCAGATAGAGGAGAAGAACAGCTCATCATTAGCCTTATCCCAAGAGTCGCCACAAAATGTAAAACAAAATCAAGGATTATATGGACAAAACTGACCTGAGCACAATATCCAAGCTTCATATCCAGTCCCCATCCATGGATCAGATCATTCTATGGAATAAATAAAAAATCAAACCATTAAAGCACCAAAAAAAAAAAAAAAAAACCCACATTAGTTGGTAAAAAAACTCACATTAGTTGGTACACAGTGCATTATAAGATTAAAATTCCCAAGTCAAGCTCATGGAAGCATATTGGTTAAGCAATGGCTTCCTATTTGATTAGCGATGTCTTACATAACAGGTTGAGGTTCAAAGACAGTGTAGTCGATAAGGAGAGCTTGCACTCAATTCGAATGGCGCGTGCTCAGGTAAAATGACCATGGTTACTTATGCTAACAAGTTCAATTAAAGAGGCTTCCAAGTACATTGGCATAACTGGCAAAGTAGCAATAGCTGAAATTTAAACTGCAAGTTAAACACACATTCTCATACATAAACTAAGGGGCTTATTTGGTTACAAGTATTATTAAAAAAAATATTATTGAAGGTAATGTCTCTAGCAATCATATTGGGAGGCATAGTTGACCACTGAAGGCTGTAATGGTGGGAAAGCTTCGGATCTAGGTGGTCTCACACAAATCTCAGTATTTGCCAAAGGTCTTGGATTTGTGACGCTAGATTGGAAGTATAGGGATGCTCTTGGTGGCAATAAAAATGTTGAGATTGACGGCAAGGATTTGATTACAGAGATGGAGATGGTGGTTTGAGTTTAATGTGGTTGATGAGGAGTAAAAGTTCAAGACTAGAACGAATGTATGGTGTATGGAGTGGGCGATTGATTTTTTGTTGGCTTGTCGTATTGATTTCTCGATCTTAATGGAAATATTTCATATTTTCAGGCTGGTCATCACCCCAAAAGAAAAAAGAAAAAAAAAAAAGGATATACAGGAAGGGAAAAAATTCATTCATTGGTTTCACATCCCATCATCCTTCCTAACGGGTCCTATTTATCAAACGCATTACCTTAAGATAACAATTCCTAATTAATTAATTATCAATAACTAAACTAATTACAAGTGGATTCACATCATATTCACTAGCATAGCTGAGTTAAACACATCTTCAGACTTTAAAATAAAATTGACTGCGTGATTCAGAAGGAAAGATTGGATTCTTCAAATCTAAAAGAAGTTATGATTATAATTTTTATGATGTTGTGAATCATACCTGAATGAGATTCCAAGCACAACGCCAAGCAGATCTAGAAAATACTGGAGCCATACCCTCCACCCAACTGCAAACGAACAAAAAATTAGGTCAAACAAGCACGATAGACCATATATTGTTTTTTTTTCTAGGAAAAGAAATCATCAAATACCTTAAATGACTTAAAAAAATAATCATTATTAGAAAGCATAAGGAAACAAATAAATTACATTTTATTATAGCATAGTTCCTTAATAAGAGTCATACTAGAAATGATGTAGTTGTAATCAATGTTTAAAATTGCGTATTTGGGTATTGAGGCGTTTTTCATTCGTGAGGCGAGGCGTAAGCCTCAAGGCGTTTTGAGGCGTAAGCCTCAAAATCAAAAGATTGCGTAAACATGAAATGATAATTTTTTTATGTACTAATGAGTGAATAATATAAAACATAAAAAAGCATAAGATATGAATTAAAATCAAAATATCCCAATAATAAGACAACATGAAATATAGTTCAACTCAAAATTCTATCTTTCCCAAATCCCAGTATTATTTTCATTAACATATAATTCCAATTTCCAAAAACAAATAACAATGACATATCACATAAGAACTCATAAGTCATCAACACTGTCATCACTAAGAGGTTCTTCATTTGAATTATTATTATGATGAACTGCTCTCTCCCCTTCCTCCTCTCCTATAGAGTCCAATGTCGGGCATTTACTTCAAGATTTATGTAAGTTTTAATATATATAGCGTGAGGCGTAAGCCTCTTGCTAGTGAGGCGAGGTGGGCCTCAAGGCGGGCCTCAACCAAGTTGAGGCGCAAGCCTCATAAAAAAAACTCGAGGCGTAAGCATCGAGGCGTTTTTTACTGGAATTATGCAAATGAGGGCTTCAAGGCGAGCCTCATATTGCGCAATTTTAAACCATGGTTGTAATTATAGATAACAGTTTACAGGATAATGTTGTAAAAATTAATAAAATGGAAAATAAAACTATAGCTTTAAAGATTGTTGTTGATGCTAAGACTATTAATATTATAAGTGCTTATGCTCCTCAAGTAGGTTTGGATATGAGTTCAAAATTAAAATTTTGAAATGACTTAGAAAATTAATATAAAAGATACTTCTTGAAGAAAAAAAAATTTATTAGAGGAGATTTAAATGGACATGTTGGTAGAGAGGTAGATGATTTTAAAAGCATTCATGGTGGCTATGAGTTTGGAGCAACTAATGAATGTGGTAAAACTATATTAGATTTTTCTTTAGCTTATGATTTTGTAATTATTAATACCTTATTTGAGAAAAAGGATGAGCATCTTATTACTTATAAGAATGAATATAGTAAAACTCATATTGTTATTTTCTTATAAGAAAAATAAATCTTTAAGATTGCAAATATTGTAAAGTTATTCCAAGTGAAAGTTTATGTACCCAATATCGCTTATTAGTTTTGGACTTTAAGATAAATGAGTGAAAAATAAAAAATAAAGTAAGACGTTGTTCTAGAATCAGATGGAGACTTTTAAAGAATACTAATAAAAGTATTTTTTAGAGTAAGACGCTAGATCTTAAGATTTTGTTCGTGCATAAGGAAGCTAATGTTATGTGGAAAAAAATAGCTAGTGATATTAAGAATGTCACGAAAGAAGTACTTGGAGTATCAAAGGGAAAAACTTCTAATAATAAAAATAGTTAGCGAAATTAAAATGAGCAAGAAAAGATAAAAAAAATAAGAAGATTTATTATAAAAATTAATTTAAATTTAAAAATTTTGATAATTGGAAAATATATAAAAAAACCTGTAAGGAGTCTAACAAAATAATATGCGATGCAAAATTTTAGCTTTTAATGATTTATACAATGGATTAGATACTAAGGAGGGCTACAAATATATGTATAAGTTAGCCAAACATAAAGATAATAATAGTAAAGATTTAGTTCAAGGAAAGTATATTAAGGATGAATATAAAAAAATGTTTGTACTAGAAGAGGATATTCAACAAAGGTGGATAAGATATTTTTATGAACTTTTCAATGAAGATTATGAAAATGCGATTGACTTTAGTGATCTTAACACTATAACTGAAAATAAAGATTTTTTTATCGGCGTATTAATAAAACCCAAGTTGTAGAGGCTTTAAAGAAAATAAAAAGTGAAAAAGCTATTGGACATGATGATATTCCAATAGATGTGTGAAAATGCTTAGGAGATGAAGAAATTTCTTGGTATATTAATAATTTTAATATTATTTTGAAGAATAAAAAGATGCCAGATGAGTCAAGAATGAGTGTGTTTATTCATATTTTTAAGAATAAAGGTGATGCACGAGATTGTGCGAATTATAGAGGAATTAAGTTAATGTGTTATGTGTCTAACTTTAAAACTATGGGAAAGAATTATCGATCATAGGTTGCAACATGATACTAATATTTCTCAAAATCAATTTGGATTCATGCCGGATAGGTCAACTATGGAAGCTATACATTTATTGAGAGGTTTGATGGAGAAGCATAGAGAGAATAAGGAGGATCTACATATGATATTTATTGATTTAGAGAAAGCATGTGATCAAGTTTCAATAGAAGTGCTATGGAGAGTTCTAGAAAAGAAAGGGGATAATAATTCTTCTATTAAAGTCATTAAGGATATGTATGCAGGAGCTGTTATTTGTGTTTAGACACAAGGTGGATTGACCAAGCATTTTCCTATTTCAGTTGGATTACAACAATGATCAGCATTAAGCCCAAATCTTTTTGCTTTAGTCATAAATGTTCTCACTAGACATGCAAGAGATTGTACCATGGTGTATACTTATTGCTGATGATATTTTTCTTGTTTCTAAGACTAGAGAGGAAGTTGAAGGCAAACTTAAATTATGGAGGTTAACCTTAGACTCTAAAGGCTTTTGTTTGAGTAGATATAAAGTTGAATATATGGAGTATAATTTTAGTAATAATAGTTCTTGTGGGGGAATTGTGACTTTCGGTGATCAAGTCATTAATAAGAGTACACATTTTATATATTTTGGGTCTATTGTTAAGAGTGATGGTGAAATAGATGCAGATATTATTTTGGATTATTAAAGTGGAGGAATGCATCGAGCTTATTTTGTGATAGAAAAGTCCCCCTCAAACTTAAGAAAAAATTCTATAAGATGGTGGTTAGACCACCAATGCTTTATGCTGCAAAATGTTGGCCATTAAAAGAGAAGCATAATATTAAGTTAAGTGTTTCAGAGATGATGATTCTCAGGTGGATGAGTGGCTTTACTCGTAGAAACAATGCACAAAATGAGCATATACGTGAAAAGGTTGGAGAAGCTCCAGTGGAAGATAAGATTATAGCGAGTCGCCTTAGATGATTTGGTCACATAAAACAGTGGCCTTCCGCCCAGTTAGGAAAGTAAAGGCATTAGATTTGACTTATGAAAGAAAGGTAGAGGTAGACATAAAAAAACTTGGTTAGAAAATATTAGAAATGACCTTTCTTTATTAGAATTAAGTGAGAATTTAACTTTTAACAGGGCACAATGGAGAAAAAGGATTCATGTAGTCAATCCCGCATTAATGTTGATGTTGTTGTCGTTAATAGTTCCTTAATAAACCTTTATATATTCATAATTCAGACATTATAGTCAACGGAAATTTCTCCAAATTTAATCAAGTCAACATACCAACTGCACATTGCATATAAGATGATAAAGACTGGTGGAGGTAAATACAATGATTATCCTGCCGTTTGTTGATGTGGAGCTCCAAGCCTGAAGTTAGCTCAGAAAATGGCTGCCCATGCGAGACTTCAAAGATCTGCCTAAGAATCACTACACGGCAAACATGCTACTACTAAAATTTCATCCCAGCTAGGATGTGGTGTGGATGTGAATGATTGTCGCTAAAATGTGTCAAGTCGAATACATTTTAAACAAGAAAAAATTGGACAATTAGGCCAAGTTCTGTGGTGTCACAAAACAATAGCATGCAAGTTGTTTGTCTGCACACACATTCACAACAATATTCAGTTTTTCATCTGGATCTTAATAGCGAAGAGCAATATTACGTGGTCTTGTAGATGGAGTTAACAAAAAAATTGCACTGAATTATAATACAGAAAACATTCAGATTAATTTAACTCATTCAGAAGATTTTAAAGTTCAAAGCAAGCCTTTTAATGGTTGGTATATCTCCCATTAAAATTGAAAAAAGTCATAACTCATAAGCCACTAAACATATCTACTTACCCTACGCATGGTGGCTCCTCACTATCACGTGAACACTTTCCAGCTTGCCGGTCCCAAACTCTCCTGTAAAATATATCATGCATGGTTATACAGCACAGCCAACTAGAAAACGGTATTGTGATTTACCTATGAACCTTGCTCTTCTTCCTGCGGACAGTAATCTGATGATGTATTTCAGATAGATGGGGTTCTAATGCTGGCTGTGATATCTCCAGTCCTTCAGACTTCACAATTTCCAAGTATCTACAAGCAAAAGAATCCAATAAACCCAAACGCAAATGTTTGAACAAGACAATAGCTTCAAAGATCTAGAAGTGGTGATGTAAGTCCTTTGAAATAATTTTAAAACGGAAACATCTTAGAGAAAAGTTTTGAATCTCTTAATAAGGCTTATAATCTACAATTGGGATAGTAATAATGTCCAAAACTCTAAACTCTCAACTCAAAACTCACTCGATGATCACCCTAATTTTAATCAAATCAAAATGCTCCGACTTGAATAAGGTTCGCTCAAAATACATTTCATTCAACTTGATATATCCTATATGCACATGCATGTTAACAAACACACATACATATATATAAGAAAATAAAATAATTTTTATTTGTATTTAAAATTATTTTATAAATTGATATTTACTAGAATCTGTTGGGAAATATCTATATGTGGGTATTTTCTATATATGGTTCTATATATTTATATATATAAATTAAGTATTATACATTAGTAACTATCCAAAATTGAACTACTTAAATTCGTGATCTATTTCAGAATAAAATTATTATTTGGCTTATGTAACATCTCATTTAATTTGTATGGAATTAAATATTGTGCAAAGACCTAGTATATTATACTATTTTAATGATAGACTGAAATAAAATAAATACATTTAAAGTATAAAAGAGTTGTGGTCCCCCAATTTAAGCCGCTAAATTTTCATTCTCCTTATTTCCCATCTTGAGTGAAAAGAATGGTTCACTCGCTCTCTTGGGGAACACCACTTCAAACATGGAACACCGAAAATCTTAATTTTGCATTTCAATAGATTCAGGCATGATTCAGATAATTTTTTTTGATGATTTGACATACAATTCGGAGGTGTTGAAATTATTTTTCGTCTCCATAATATATCCTAACAAGTGGTATGAGAGCTGGTTGTCATATTAGATCAACGAGAAATAATTCTTTCTAATCATTTCATTGATTGTTTGAGATTTTCAGTTAAAAGAAATCTTCATTAGAGAATATTTTTCATTTGAAAAAAATTGGATTATCCAGTGTAAAGTAATTTCAAAATTTTTCGATACTATTTCGCTATTTTGGAAAACAAAAAAGAAGAAGTTGAATCTAAATTCCACTTAAGTTCAACACATTTTCTTAACTGTATAATTCTTCTTCACTGCATTTCATCATCTTCAATGAAAAATTTTTCATTCAGAATGATTTAATTTTAATGGATTTCTTTTCCAAACGATGCAACTATTGGAGAATTTTTTGTTACAGTGAATGGTTATTTAAGTTCAACATAGTCTTCACTGTATTCTCTCATAAAAAGATTTTTCATTCACTTCAGGTAAAGTTGTTCTAACGAATTTCTTTTCCAAACACCGCAACCATTGAAGAACTTACTTTGAATGGTTGCTTAATTTCAACGTTTTTTTTTTCAGTTGTTTTAATGGCAAGTGTTGAAAAGCAAGCAGTTAAGTTATATCAATGTTTAAAATTGCGTATTCGGGTATTGAGCTGTTTTTCATTCGTGAGGCGAGGCGTAAGCCTCAAGGCGATTTGAGGCGTAAGCCTCAAAATCAAAAGATTGCGTAAACATAAAATGATAAATTTTTTATATACTAATGAGTGAATAATATAAAACGTAAAAAAACATAAGATATGAAGTGAAATCAAAATATCTCAATAATAAGACAACATGAAATATAGTTCAACTAAAAATTCTATTTTTCCGAAATCCCAGTATTCTTTTCATTAACATATAATTCCGATTTCCAAAAATAAATAGCAATGACATATCATATAAGAACTCATAAGTCACCATCACGGTCATCACTAAGGGGTTCTTCATTTGAATCATTATTATGGTGAACTGCTCTCTCCCCTTCCTCCTCTCCTATAGAGTCCAATGACGGACATTTATTTCAAGATTTATGTAAGTTTTAATATATATAGCGTGAGGCGTGTAAGCCTCATGCTAGTGAGGCGAGGTGGGCCTCAATGCGGGCCTCAACCAAGTTGAGGCGCAAGCCTCATAAAAAAAAATCGAGGCATAAGCATCGAGGTGTTTTTTACTGGAATTGCGCAAAGCAATTTTAAACCATGAGTTATATATACCATGAGTTATATATATATATATATATATATAATGCATGATTCTAATTATGACTATTCTAGAAATTAATGCTTGCATGGCAAAATCATTACTTGATGAGAGTTAGTACTTTATTATGTTAATTATAATTGTTTACATATAATTCATGATTATTAATTGATTAAACCTGTATATCGTAAGAGAGTAAGATGATTCATATATTGAGAAAATTTAATTCTGCTTGTTATATTAGATTTAGGCAAAATGAGATGCCTATTTTTTGTGGAGAAAATTGATAGATTGGTTAATTAATTTAATCAAATAATTTTTTCTCAATTGCAATTATTATTCAATTTAAATTGAAATAATATGTCATCAAAATGATCTCTATTAGATCAATTTGTATTAAATGTATTAAGGGAAAACAAATAAATATTAAAGAAAATTGGTGCCAAAGGAGTTTAAATGTCTTAAAATTTATATATACTATTATACTGATATTTATGGCTCATTCCCTACATCTTCTTGGAATGATCAACAATATTTTATTATTTTCATAGATGATTATTCTAGTTATGAGTACTTATACTTATTACACAAAAAATCAAAATTTATGGACGTATTTAAGACTTTAAAGTTGAAGTTGAAAAATCAACTGGGTAAGAAGACTAAAGATGTCAAACCTGATCATTATAATGAATATTATAATATATATGATGTATCAATTGAACAACGTCTAGGACATTTTGCAATATATTTAGCAGAATATGGCATCATTCCTTAATACACTATGCTATAAACTCTAAGTCAAAATGGTGTAGTTGAGAGATAAAATTGAACCTTAAATGATACGGTTAGAAGTATGATAAGTTATTATTCCTTACCAGAATCACTTTAAAAAGAAGCCTTAAAGATTACAATTTATATTCTTAATAGAGTTATAAACAAAGTAGTAACTAGAATCATATATGAATTGTAGACTAGAAAGAAGCCTCGAATTAGGTATTCTCATGTTTGGGGACATCTAGTTGAAGCTAGGCCATATAAGTATAATGAAAGAAAATTGAACTCAAGAATTATTAACTGTTATTTTATTAGATATTATGAAAGGTCAAGAAACATTAAGTTTTATGATTTCTCAAATAAATCATTTTTAAGATGAGCAATGCTAAATTTATTGAGAAAGTTGAATATAATGGGAGTGATAAACTCAGAGATTTTAATTTTGAGGAGGAATATATTAACATTCATACTGTTACAATTGAAAAGGATCAAATAATTATGTTTGATGTTATTCTGATTGTAAATCCATATAATCAAAAAACTCTTAAGTTGTCTCTTACTAATATAGAAATACAACAACCTCAATAATCCATAAGAGGAAGGAGCTATGTATCTCTAAGAACTTGAATTTTATATGAGACTGAAAGCTAATCCAATCTCATTCAGTCATGACAAATAATGTTCTAATATTCAAAAGTGAATAGAGGCCATGAAAGATAAGATGAAATCAATGAAAGAAAATGATGTTTAGCAGTTTAGGGTTTTACTAAATTGCCTAAAGGAACCAAATCCATTGGTTGTAAATGAATTTTCAAAACCAAATGAGATTCCAAAGACAATATTGAAAGATATAAGGCATGTCTCGCTAAAGGTTTCACTAAAAAAGAAGACATTGATTATACAGAGATTTTTTCTCCATTTTTATTAAAAGATTCTTTTAAAATTATTATGACATTTATAAGCTCATTATGATTTAGAGCTACATCACATGGATATAAAAATTGTGTTTCTCAATGATGATATTGAAGAAACAATATATATGACGTAACCATAAAATTATAAACACATCTGGTATACAATTTTAAAAAAATCCATTAATGATTTAATGCAAGCATTACATCAAAGATATAAAAAATTTGATTGAGTGATTACTTCATTTGATTTTAAAGAAAATATTATTGATTAATGCATTTATTATAAGATCAGTGTGAGTAAGTTTATTCTCCTAGTGTTATATGTTGATGATATTCTGCTATCAAGTAGCAATATAAGAGATTTCTTTCAAATAAATTTGAAAAGAAAGATCTTGGAAATGCATCATTTGTCTTGGGTATACAAATTCATCGGGATTACTCTCATAGTATACTTGGTTTATCACAAACAGCATATATCGATAAAGTGCTTATCAGATTTGGTATAAAAGATTGTACATTAGAAGATACACTCATTGCAAAAAAATGATAAATTTACTATACTTTAATGCCCAAGAAATAAAATTAAAAAGCAAGAGATGGATAAGATTCATAATGCATTAACAATATGGAATCTTATGTATGCTCAAGTTTGTGGTTCAAGTATTGTGTAAATTATTAGAATGATTGGTAGATATTTAAGTAACTCAGGAATATATCATTGGAAAGCAGTAAAGCGAGTTATGAGGTATCTAAAAAGGATAAAAAATTTTATGGTCACATATCAGAGTTCTGATTATTTAGATATCGAGGGGTATTCTCTCTGATTTTATTGGTTGCCTCAATAGTAGCAGATCCACTTCAGTCTATATTTTCATGTTAGCTAGAAGAGCTATATTATAGAAAAGTGTCAAGCAATCACTTATAGCTTTTTCTATAATGAAAGCAAAGTTTATAGTTTATTATGAGACATCAAATCAGGAAATATGATTGCAAAATTTTATTATAAGGTTATGTATTAATGATGACATTATAAGACCATTAAAAATAAATTATGATAATAAAACAGCTGAGTTATATTCCAAGAACAAAAGAAGCTCATCAAAATCAAAGCACATTGATATTTAGTTTATTGTTGTAAATAAATGAGATAAGAGTTATCAAATTTATATTGAATATAGTAATACAAATTTTAAGATTACAGACCCATTTATAAAAAGATTACCAT